ATTTTTTAAAATTGTGTAACATTCCAAGGGCATATTTAAACTGCAGCTGACAAAGATTTGCCTACTTTTACTTAAGCTCTCTTAATGTTAAACTCAATTTAATAGGTGTGTAGTCTCAGAGGAAAACACTAGGTCAGGCTAAAATCAGCTTAGGGTTAATAAATTCACACATAATGAATTTTTACAGATTTATTGATTACTACCGCTTAATGAACACTGACAAAACATACTGGGGAGAATTTATCAAAACCGGAGCAAACAAAATCTGGAGCAGCTGTGCACTGCAACCAATCAGTGTCTCTCTTCACTTTGTTTAGTTAAGATTTTAAAATGAAAGAGAGAAGCTGATTGATCGCCATGCACAGCTGCTCCAGATTTTGTCTGCTCCAGTTTTGATAAATGCCCCTCACTGTATTTAAATGAGATGGACCACTTAAAACAAAAAGAGATAGGCCAACTATAGGCATTGATACAGGTTATCCTCTTTGGACCCTAATGCAAAATATGAACTGGGGTCCATTGAGACAGCAGGTGAGCATATCTCTGTTATTTTATTTCCCTATTCAAAGGAAGCACTTAATTCTTGCACTGCCGTGGTAGAACCGCTGCAAGATTCGGGGATACCAGCACTCAAAGGATAATGTCAAATTCTTGTGTTCATTTATTGAAGAAAAGCGTCACGTACATCCAATCGCCAATGTTTCGGGGGCCACGCAGACTCCCTTCATCAGGGCAACATAGTGACAAACACTGTCACACAACACTGCCACTCTGTTGCATGCATTATCAAACCTTAAATAGCAAGTAGACATAAAGGTTAATTGAACACTCGCAGAAAGGCAGTAGGATAAGGGATAGCAAGAAAACTGTACATCCTAATAGTAGGGTTCCTCCATATGATTACTCCCCTGAAAACCAATGTGGTAGTGAAGCTGCATATAAGGAGAAATTAAGAAGGTCATCAATTATTATAGTCTAGGAGGCAACATTGTACAAAAGAGACACACAGACCTCTGAATAAACAATGACAAACTTTAATCAGTGACTACCTCCGTCACATCCATTTGGCTACTCCACCACTAGCCACATGCAAATATGTTGGACACTTTCCACGGCAACTACACCATGAATTGCTTTTGAGTGCACCTTATTCTTCTACACAGGTTTGTAATTTTATGCATGAGTTTTCTGTGCCTCTTTTGTACCCCCTAGAATATTTTTGCCATTAGGGATGATGGATGATCTTCTTGAGTTCCCCTCCTAATAAGTGACTTCAGTACCATGTTTGGAAGGGAGTAATCATATGGAGGACTCCTACTATTAGGATGTATAGTTTTCTTACACCCTTATCCTTGTGTTTTTTTGTGAGTGTTTGATTAACCTTTATATCTGCTTGCTAATTATGGTTTGATAATGCATGAGGTTGTTGGGCCCTATCAGTTTTGAGTGAAGAAATCATATGAAGGACCCCCTACCATTAGGATCTACAGTTGCTTACAAGACCTTCTCCTAGTGGCTTCTTGCCAGTGGTCAGTTGACCCATTGTATCCACCTGCTATTTTTGGCTTGATAATGCACAAGTTTGTTGTGTAAATTTGTTCTGCTTGTTTCTAGTAATTATTGTGGATTTATCCTCTACTACCAGGAGCAGCATTACCTCATTCCCCCCTCATTCTCTTGGACTTTTTTTGAACATCATTTATTAGACTTCAATGAGTTGCCCTTTCTTTTCCTGTTTCCTATTTTCTGAGATTGCCCAGTTTTAGGCATTTAATTCTGTCCCTAATAATATTGTGTGCTTATAATTTTTTTCTGTTTTGCATTTTACTAGGGCTTCAAGGCCTTTATCCAGATTGACTTGCATTTCCCAGGATGCCCTTTTTTTGACCATTGAGGTTGAAGCTAATGGCCATATGACTTTCTTCAAATTATGTAAACTCTGTAGATAACTACATTTGCTACATTACTAAACCTGTATATTCCCCATAAAACCTTACCAGGGGACTTGTTTTAAATATGAGGATACTTTCAGTACTTAATACTGCAGGCAAAGAGTATACAGAATTTTAATATATATGTATTTTCTTACTGGACTTTTTGGATCAAAGGTTCTATAAAGGACACTATGTAATTGAATCCTGTGTAACATTAATTGATTTTTTTCTTTCTGAAAGCTGTGATCAAAACTTGTACTAACTTATATAAGTATTAGGAAAACTATCTAGCAAAGAAATTAACTGTGACAGCGTATAAGTATGCAGGTCCCAACTAAGATGTAACACAATACAGAGCTTCAACATGAAGCTTCTGGACTTACTTAAGAGGCAGAAAGAAAAATTCCTGAAACATTGGGGGTGATTTACTAACCTAAACACACACACACACCAGGTGTGTGTGATTTTCACACAGCAAAACGTATTTATCAACCAAAAAGCCTCTAAAAGCATATTTCCACTAATGCCATATATGGAAAAATCATGCACATGATGCATATATAATGCTGCTTCACAGTTTAGACAAAAATGGTTAGCTCATGCATTTACATTCCTGCATTCATCAACGCAAGCAACACAACATAGAGCTAATTTACACCACATTACCTTGCAATTCATTGCAGGGCTTTGCACAACACACCTGCTGGGTGTGTACACACTACAAAGGTGTTTCGATTCCTCCCATAGATCATGCTGGGAGGGAACACACTACAGAGGTGTATACACGTTCGTGGTGTGTTTAAAAGGTTAGTAAATCAACCCCATTGTCTCAAACCTAAAACCTACTTGTAGACTTTTTTTTTCTAGTTTAGAATAGAATGGCAAGACATTTTTCTCAGTTTTTATTTCTGTCTGTCACTCAAATAAATAGAACTCTTTCTGGTTCTGTGACACCAGTACAACAAATAGAGTAAGCAGGAGTCAAAAGCACTAACCTTTCCCCACTCACTTAAAATGTGTTTTGTTCATGTTCCTGCTGGAGCGATTCCACATCACTTGCTGTCGTCACAGAAAATGAGGGAAAATCTCCTCAATAGGGACACAGACTGCAATTAAATCCTGACAAAGATTCTAACCATTTTCCACTATATCCAAAGCAAAATACAAAGGGGGGAATTTATCATAGCAATTGCGAGTGTTTGAACTTGCACGGAATATATTTGATGCACTTTGCACCAGATTTATGATGCTAGTGTAATATTGTTCATAAATGAGGTTTAATAGACTCCAGGAAAGAAGCTTAACTGTTGCTTCTTAAAGAAGTGGTCATGGGGACTTCTTAAGTTGTGATTGTTTTGTTAGGTGATGCTCCAGTTTCAGACAGCCGCAGAAAAAGTGCAGATGAAAACAGTTGCAAAAAAGGTGCATAAATCGTGCAAATGAAAAAGTAGTGCAAGCTCTTGTCAAAACAGGGTCACATGTTAAAAGACAGATTTGCACATTTAAAAATGATTTTTTTTTTTGTGGCTAAAGAGGCTAAAACTGTTGCAATTGCTTTGATAAATTCCCCCAATGTTTTGACTAAACTTCAGCATTAAAGTACTACAGCTAGAAACATAGATTCATACTACACAACAGGTTATCTTCTAAAACTTTGCAATTTTCCATTTATAAAACAAAGTCTCCTCTAATATAAAAAACACAGTGCTAAAAATTCTTATTTTTTCTGCATTCACAATTTGCAGTTTAATAGTTGTTGTACACTTTAGTACTCCTTTTAATTAATATTATAATTATTTTCCATTTAATGTCCAATAGATTGCAGAACAGAACATGATCATTGATGAATGGACTGGCCTGGGTTCGGTTCGCTTTGACATTTCGGAAACCCACCCAAAAATCTATGTTTGGCAAATGTCCAAACGAACCTAACTCAGGGCCATCTATGCCCCAGAAAACATTGAATTTGTGAGACATGCACAATGCTATGATGCTGGTGGCCTTACATCATCATAGGTTGTTATGTTGTTCCAGCTACATCCTAGCAACCAGTGTCACTTAGCGGCTCAGCCATCATCTCTGTGCAGGCCACACAGCATTATTGTTTTGCTGGCCATATCGATCATCTATTTGGGTTCAAGTCAAACTAATGGTCGACTTGAGCCCAAAGTTCATGCCTAAGCATGATGCAGATCAATTTTTGATTGTTACTGCACAATAATGACCCCATTATAGTCCATTATGCTGTGTGGTATACAATGTAGACCTCCATGTGAAATTCTTTTTAAAGGACCTGTGAAATGCATCTCATTCTTACGGAAAAGTAACTGCAATTTGATTTTATTAAAATACTGAACAGGACTGTTTTAGGTTATTACATAAGAAATAAGAGGCCCCTGTTAAGATTTTGCCCCGTGGTCTCTGAACCCTCATGTTTTTTGTGGAGAATGTCTATTAGAATGGTGACAGCCCATATCTAATGCATTCACCTGGGCTGGAAAAAAATGGGATGATTAAATGGGCAGTAAAAATATCAGCAGAACACGATGTTATAGACACAGTAAATCCTTTTTTTCAGAACAGAAATACAGGTTTTGAGCAGAGCTATACAAATCCCAGGGGTCACGTAATAGGTATTACTAAAATATTTCAGTTACTTCACTTTTTTTAAATCTTTTTTTCTTGCTGAGACATTTCCTAATTCTTAGACTGGATAGACTGGCTCCTGAATTAAAAATGAATTTGTTTACTCCTATCTATAAGTACATAGTTATTTTAAAGGCATGCATCATTTTATGTATGGTTGTCAAGGCAGCTTTTACCTAACCTATGGATTTTATTTTATCCATGTTCTGTTTAAATTAGCTTTGAGGTCAGACTTGTGTTCCTTTCTCTATTATTGATCCCACCCAGCAATTATGTCTTTGATATTTTTCCTCTACATGTCTCTAATCATATTGAAACGAAGAGGACACGTATTTGCTGATGGCAAGAAATAGCTAAGGCTCTGAAGTTTAGGGTATAAAATCAATAATTGATTTGACCTTGCATTTGTTTCTCCTGCAGCTGTATTGAAGACTATAAATTGGGTCCCGATGGATTGTCATGCCACCTGGTCACAGAGCCCTGCCCTGGTGGAGCGCACTGTGGAGAGAGTCCTGAGATGCCGATGAACCAAACCCTCTTTGGAGAGCTCTTCTATGGCTACAATAATAAGACTAAGGAGAATTCATCAGGGCAGCTGCTAAAAGGAACATTTAGGTGAACATTAACTATATTTATTAAGCTTGATGAAATACATTTAAAAGTGTATTTGTAAAGGGTCAAGGGATATACAGCAAATCAAACGAGTTCACTCTAGTAGTCTGCCTAAAGTGAACCTTTCAAGTTCTAAAAGGTTTAGTGACAACAATCCTCTTGAAGTAAAGTCAGCCTTGTGATGCCTTCAAATGCCTTTTTTTAGTCTTTAAATTAATTGATCTGTCCCAGTGGAGCCCCCTGGGTTCCAGACCCAACACATACACAGAATTTCAAATTCTGGCATTAAGTCTTACCTCCTCCTGACGCTAAGCCCAAAGCCCATCATTCAGGTGTGGATTGCCAAAGCCTCAGTGGCAGGACAGGCTCTGTCATTTGACAGTGGAATTGTTTGGGATGGGGCTTAGACTTATGAAGGGTGGAACTTGATGTTGAAGTTATTGTCCTGTGCACAGTTTGGGGCAGTACCTAAGAGACCTGTAGCCATCACAAGGTGTCTGCAATTTTGCAGTATTGTTACGTTGCACACTTTTAATGCCATGACAGACTAATATATCAATCTACTGCATTAGGATTAAGCATGCTAGGGTGATTAGAAAGGTTCTAAAATTAATTTCTTTACACTTACTTGCTATTTTAAATCTCTCATCGCTGTAAAGTGGAAATCCAGGCCAACAGCTAAACACACAATGAAAATACATGTGCTTACTTTGCTTAATGTTTAGTTTGTTCAGATTTACACTCATCTGCCATACTACACAGGCAGGTGACACCTCTCTTTTTAGCTCATCTCTGCAGCTTTCTATGTCACCTCTTTGTCTCCATTATGTTCACTGGACAATAAATCTGCATCATCACCACTGTACATAGAGAAGAGAGATGACCCCAATAGCAGTAAAGCTGAAACAAGAAAGAGCTGAGTGTTTTCCTGTCTATGTCCCTGGATCACAAGACTGGTCAGAAAAAATGACAGATCCTTTGGCAGATAAAGCAGTTCACATACAGTATATGTATTTCAACAGTGTATTGATGTTTGCCTGGAGTTCATCCTTCTTTTCCATGGGAGAGCATCAATTTGTGTTGAGAAACTGTGGTTGTTAGGGAAAAGGCTATCATTGGTACTCATCGAAGATACATATGGCAGAACTTCTTCTAACACTTCTTCTTAGTGTCAGTTTGGCTAATTGCAGATACAGGTTTTGATTGTATCTATTTCTCAGCTCTCCTATAAAAGTCAATAAGCTGAGCACTGTAAATCATTAAACAGTCCCAGTCTGCAGTAGGGGGAACAGTTTAACTCTTTCTTTGAAAACCTATTTAGAGTAATGGTCACTGAATTTCTATTTATGACATGATTATTAGATTTAAATATTTGCTACATATTTAAAAAAAACTGTTGTCCATCAAGCATTAACTTAAAACAAGGTACACATTCACAGATGATGGGAGCTGAATTCCCAATAAAAAAATAAAGGATTTAATATTTTGCTCATACATTTACAATGCCATCTGTCTGTGTACAGGTAAGATGTACAGTATACTGTATATAGGTTATGCTCCCTGTATGTTTTTCACTTTTTAAGGGTGGCATGGAGAGGTAGCTGAGGAACCAGCCAGGGGTATCCACCTGTAGCTGTAATATTTATAGGTGCAGACTCTAATTTTGTGCATAGCCTAGATTTATTTGTGTATTAATCACGAACCCCAAACTAGTGTTTGTAAAGTCAATCAATATAATCTCATAAACGTTTGGAGATGTTATTGTAATTTCAAAAGTCATTTTCAGTATTTTAAACTGGCAGATTTAACTAAAATAATCCCTGTTGATCCTGCCGTGGAGGTCCTTATTCAGGTACTTCCAGTTATGGGGTGACAGCGCTCTGTCCCTCTCTCTCAAATGTGCTCCTGTAATGTCACCTTGTCACACACTCTATAATAACTCTATTCACATAAGGGTCTATTCACTAAGCTGCCGTAGGCAGCCGAGTGAATGACCGGCCTGAAGTGAAGTGAGCCGAACACTGTTCGGCTTTTCACTTCAGGCTGGTACGGCTGATTTCAGCCGTATATCGGCTGAAGTCAGCCGTACATTGGCTTGCTTCGCATGGCTTCGGGTCGGCCGAACATGCTCAGCATGTTCGGCTGACCCGAAGTGCAGGAGGTGTTCGACTCAGCCGATCCAACATCTGGATCGGCTGAGCCGAACTTCCGGCAGTCTACTCACTGCTGTTCAGCTTAGAGCCGAAGGGGCCGAAGCTAGCCGAAGGATCGGTCGAATCTATGGCTAGATCCTTCGGCAGCTTCGTGAATAGACCCCATAGTGTAGCGCTCCTTACTATATCATATACTAATGAATAAAAATTACTTGATTAAAACATAATTAATAAAGTGCATATAGTATAAATTGTGAACATTAACACGCACATTATATACACAAAGTACAGTGCAAAATGTCTGTGCAAACTCCCAGTGTCTTAATTCATCCAACTGCAATTGATCTCAATAAATGTCCAATATCATACAGTGCAATCCATACAAAGATAGTCTCTTTCAACTTTATTTTAGGATCTCCTCCAAATTCCGTGCTCTACCCGTGTTGTGTGCACCACTTTAAATTTAAATGCTCCTCACCTGTGGACGAAAAAACTATTGCGCCTGTGTATTTAAAAACACTCCAAAATCCTCCTTGTCCTCCTCCACAACAGCAATATGTTGATATCTCATGTAATTCCACTCAAAAGAAACATAAGCATAGTGCAACCCTATTTAAAAAAAACTCACATTTTTAAAAATACATCTACTGTACAGATCCTTGCCCATATTCATATTCATACAATTTCTGCTTTTACTATCTCGATCCTGCTGGGTACACTAATCCTCTTCAACTTGCCTGTACAAGTCCTGCCCAACATGATGATATCACCAGCTGCAGCTCAGCCCCAGGACAACCTTCTGCACTACACCATCATGAGGTGTGACATTCACACACTTTTCCAACTGAGACTACAGGAAAATATGCTGACACACATTATGCAGGAATAGTCAACTGTTATACTATAATGCCAGGGTAATGTCTTTCTGGGTCCCCCAAAAAATCCAAGTTTTCAAGAATATGTGCAGGAATATAAAAAGTACAAAACTGGGATCCATGTCCATAGGTAACACATGTCTGATCTGTAAATCAAGTAAGTTCTATATATTTTCCACTTTTGAGTGTACATTGAAAATAGTGCAATAATGAATGAATAGCATCAAAAGTTTATTCTGTTTCGGTTTAAAGGACACTGTTTTGATATGTGCTAAGCATTGGTCATGTGATCTCTGCTGATGGAGCTTGGGAAGTGAATTTCAGAGAAAGCCAGTCAGTCAGTTGGTTGGATTGAACAGTGATACTTTCCATTGGCAGAGACCGCCTGATCAATGTCATAGCACTGGAAATGTGCTCCACTGCCAGAGGTGTGAAACATTCATCAGATTCAAGCAGAAAGATACGTTTTAGGTATTACTTTTTAACCTGTTTAATGCCACATTGGGGTGGAGTTGTTAAGAAGATTTGACATTACCAAAGGAGTGCACATAATATTCTATGAATGTATTGCAACTGTAAGCTGTCAAAAACTGCAAACATGCAACAGGAGATGGTCAGAGTCTGAAAACATGCTATAGGAGTTGATGGAGACCGGGAACATGCTTCAGGAGACAGTCATAGACTGGATAATATGAGATCACCTGCACTACATACATCGTACAGACCTTGGATGAAAGGTTGGTGCTTGAAGTGACAACACGGATGGCGCCGTGTCAGATACAGTCCATAATAGAAGTCACCAGCACTCTCATAGACTGGAGACACGTACATTAAACTGCCATAGACCATGGCCACTACAGCCCCCTTTACAAGTCAACATTTGTGCTCCTTACAGCCCGCTTAAAAATTACTTATGCCACATTTGAAATTTCTCTCAGTGTGATCCATTAAAAAAAGATCAGAGGCAAAAACAAAACATAAAAATAGAAAAGGGATAGACAATACAGAAAAAGGTAAGATAGTGTAAACAAAATAGGTAAAACCGTTTAACTTAACAAGAATACTTTTCCTTCATTCCCTTGAGTGAGCACCAAAACAGACCAATGTCTTTGGACCACACAGTAATTACTAATGGGCAGCAGGTTGGGTACCAGGGGAGTAGGTTCACTTCAGTATTCTATTACAATAATTGCAAACCAACTAATAAGACATGTTGTAGTTGTGACTATGCCATAGATGTCAAAAAAGACAAAAACGCAGTATTGCAGTGTGCAATGATACCTTTCTTATTGGACTAACAAAATATATAAAAGACAAGCTTTCGAGAGTGAACCTCTCTTCTTCAGGTCAGATTTTTCCTGTCAGAATGCCTGCTGTGGTTATTTAGTCCATCTATTTGACTCCATCAAAAAGATCTCATAAGCAATTCAACATTGTCCGGTGGTACTTTGCTTTTTATCCACAGCAGCCTGACCCTAGCTTTGCCACAGTTAAAATATGGATCTTCAAGCCCATTGTTAAAGGCACCATCTGTATTCAGTGTGTTTTTATCAAAAGGATAATGGATAAAGGAAGATAACAAGCAGCTTTCAAGGTCTATTATCCCTTTCAATTCATATCATGAATATATACTCACAGTGCATTTAACATAGACATCATTGGAATCTGTTTTCAACCAGGTCAAGCTGTGTTTATCCTTCTCCGAATAAAACAGGTGAGACCTAATGAAAATATTAAAATCCTACTATCGAACACGTGAATTATGGCAGTTTCAGAATTATGTAATATTTTTAGATTGATTTGTTATTTAATGTCAACTTGTATTTTTGGTTCTGTAGTCCTATAATGCAAAGTCAGGCCTTGTATCCATAAAATAGCGTGGCACTAAGTTTTGATTGGGCTAAAAGCTGCACACTGCCAAC